TTAATTGCAAAATCATTCCTTGAAGTTATTAAGAAACACTCTAATAAATACAATAAAAAACTGGGGGGGAGACATTGAAAATTGTAGGAGAAGAAAGACATTTTAATTGTAAAATTTTTTTCAAAAATTTAAATTAAAAAAAAAATGCTAGCAAAAACTTTTTTTCAGCTTAAATTATTTTGTCTCGCAAAACCATTTAGTAATATTCATAAAAAAGTAGATGAAAATGCTTAAATTTAAAAAAAAAAAAAAAAAAAAAAAAAAAAAAAAAAAAAACCATTCAAAAGGTACTGAGTCCCTCTTCGCATTGAAGTCGATATGCACTTGTCTTACTTTAGTTTTAATTTGAACGATATTTCTGGAAAACCTAGCATCAGATAACTTGTGTGTATTTGTCTCTATAATTTTCGTATCTTGTACAGTTCTACTTCTAATTTGGGGGGGGATGCTATCACATCCCCAGACATCTAGACGTCAGTGCGATTGTGTTCGCTGACAGTCCAGTGAGCCGTAACTAAAATTATGTGAACCGCGCAGTATAGTATGGGAAATCTCCTCATTTGCCCTGCTCCCGAAAGGTAGGAAACATTCAACCAAGTTCTACCTTCAATTCGGCGAGGCAGTTAATGCTTGTGCCATGTGAACGGGACACGTTGGAAGAACCGGTTTTCGCTACCGGTCGAATCTGCTCTTGTGAACGAGGCTTAAGTGTTCCACAATGACTTTCTCAAAAAGTGACTGTATGGGCAGCTGTTTCCACAAGAGATACAAATGAACCCCTTTTTCTACATGATACAGTGACTTCATAACGATTTGTTCAAATTTCCACGTTTTTGTGGCCATCGAAGATGTTTTCGTCGAATCATCCACGACATACTGGTTCATGCAAGATGGTGCAAGGCCTCAAGCGACTGCTGCAGTTTTCGGTTTCTTAGAAAATTATTTTAATAACCATGTAATTGCTTTCAATTAGCCATGCTTCACAGTAAAGGAAACAGAGTGGCAACCGTATTCACCAGACTTCAGTCCATGCGATATCATCCCTTGGGGGTCACATAAAGGATGCAGTGTAATGGAAAAATCCTCGAACACTTGAGAAACTTGAAGAAACAGTCAGTTACGAAAGCCATTCCATTGGCCAATTTACCTTGAAATGTCTGCTAATTTCGTTCTCCGATTATGACATGTGATTGCGGCTGATGGTGGACAGTTCAAAAATATTTTTATGTAATTTTCATTCATTAAAAAAGTTTAGAAAAATTGTAATGTGATTTTCAATTTTATTTCTTTGATTTATGAGTTTACTATCTGCAGCATCATCCGTCGGAAAATGTTTTAACTGAAACCAGTGGCTCTGGCAGGAAACATTTATGCACTGTCATATGAATTTGCTGCAAGAATTATTTTTTTAACCTCCACCGTTTGTCTGTTATAAATTTGTGAAAACCGTAGTTTCCACGCGAAGAAGCATAAGCTCTACTCGAATATAAACATTCAAAGAAAAACCGACTAAAACTTGTATCGAAAGCAAGTGTACTTAATCGTTGAAATCTAGTTAATTACAGAAACTTTTTTCCCTGCAATGGCGGGCACAAGTCATCATAGACGTTGGCCACAACTAAGGCCGGAAGTGGTGGTTGCTTTATTAGGGAGGCACTTAATAGATGAGCCACCACTGCCTCCTATGAACGTACGGACAGTTACAACCATGCCTTCTCCGGGATGTGAACCCCAGCCCTTTGGTATGGTAGTCGGCTACCCTAACCACTATACCTTCTGAGCGGCATTATAGAAACTAAAAGTATAAATATATTTATCTTGCTAAAATATAGTGTGTTTAGCTTAAAGTGAAACATAAATTGTATTTTATATGCAAACACAAATGGAAATAGTACAGTATCCTATACACTTGCTTTTACGAAAATCCTAACACTTAAAATTTTTCAGTAACTCTTTCTTTGCATACCAAATTTCTTTTTAACCACCTTCCTCCAAAAAAGAAAGGGAAACGTGCCTAATACATTTTAAATTAAAGCAAAATTCAATCTTAAATTAACGTTGAATTAAAGAAATTTTCAATGAATTTCCAAGAAGATTAAGCAAGAATACTTTTTCTCAAGCTGAAAAAAACTATTCTGCTTAGTGAAGAACCATTTTGTTATTTTCGCAGGAACTAAGCTGTTGTGTTTCCTGTGCACACTTTTCAACAAGTTTTTCTTATTGATTGAGTATATGAATATTTACAAAAATAATTGGGTGGCCAACCCTAGTTGTGAGCCACCAGTTTGTGACGTCACAATCCAGTGGTTAGATTTTTGTTTCAAAAGGCGATACCACCACTGACCATCCTTCATCAACATGAGGATCTTGGAATTGTGAAACCATATGATTTCGTTATCCTATGGTGAGCTGCTGCCGGATTCCTTTGCTTTTTTTCCATGAGATAACACTTTTGCAATTACGTAACAACTAACTACAAAAATTTGCCATTTAGCATGATAATTATTATTTTCAGGTTTGGGTATTTAAATACTTCAGTCTCGTGAATCTTGTGCTGAATCGTTCTTTCTCCCCCCCCCCATTATTTGGATCTTTTGAATCCTAACGTAGAGGCGACTAGTGGCGCCCCTGATTGCTATGTATTTAGTTCTCTCAGAGAATTTAGTATACTTTGCTTAGCATTTATTTGTTTTTTTAAATAATCTTCTTCCCTCTACAATGGCATTGCAAGACTATATCAAAAAAGTTGAACGTTTCTCAATCCCACCACTAGCCTCAAATTATATCAAGAAAATGAATGTAAATGTGTATAAAATGTAAATAAATGTGTATAATTTAATAGGACATTTGGCTAAGGAAGTTATATGGTGTCCACATAAGATTTTTTTATAGAATATAAGTGTCATTTATTTAGTTATTTTTATAATAAAGTATTTCTTTTACTTGGTAAACGTTATTATATTTTAACTGTTTAGTACTTGCTTCAATAAAAAACTAAAGTATTGTTACTTGATTTACGGTAGATACATATTTGGCTTTCTTGAAAAAGACAATGAAATCATCTAAATTTTTTCAAATGTCTAGTTAAGCTATAGTCCCAATCAGTGTTAACACACACTGGTTTTCAAAAGTTAAGCAGCCCACCAGCAACCAAGCGGTAAAATCACTGAACACTGGTAGTTCATTCCAGGTTCGAATTCTGGTTTTTGTGATTTTCTCCATATGTAACATGTGTAACAGCCAGTTTCCCTTAAAAAGTCCTTCAGGAAGGAATCTCTCCTCTTACGTCTCAATTGCTTTACCATAATTAAATATACCAAAAGTTGAATAACAAATTGATAAATTGCAATAAATTGGTTAAAAGTAGTTCAAAATTCTTGAAATTTGAATTACGAATAAAAGCAAGCTGAATCGAGTATCATTACGCAAAACTGTGATGCTACCAGTGCTTTACATAAACATGAAACAGTTAAAATTAGTTGTTTAAGAGTACATTATTAAATAATATATTAAACAATTACGAGACAGCAAAAGTGTAAAAAGAGTTAGAGGCAGCATTTGCCAGCAGAATTGTGTTAAAGAGCCATAGATTGATTAGAAGCAGAAAAAGATTAGCTGATGTTGCAAATGTTGTTCCATGGCAAGCAGGTTATTAAACCAAAGAATATGAATGGGATTCAAATCCTTTCAAACTTGTGAAACCAGTTTCTAACTACTGGTTCAGCCTCTCGAAGACCTATCAAAGATAGGCCAAAAGCTACAGCTTTTGCAGGTAACCATATTTGTAAGTAAATGCACTTCGCAACAAGACCACAACTCCATCTCAGCTTAGATTCGCACTTATTTCTGTCACCGGAAGGACAATATAAGCCATGACACTATGCAGAACAGTACAAGAAAGAGCTTTGTGTACTTGGTATTGGGCATTGTGTATCCTGCTTGACTCCCGTGATGGAAGAGGGTGTTTGAATTGGGCCATGTAGTCACTTAAACTGGATTGAAAATCAGTGGAGGTCTATTCTGTTCACTGATGAATCCCACTTGCTTTAAGATTCTCGGTGTTGTTCACATAGGGACAGAAACAAACACTTTATATCTTCCGTTTAACATATCGGAAAGAGATACTGAAGCAGGAGGTAGTGTTTTTGTATGTGGAAGAGTACCTTTAGGTGGGTGCACAAAATTGTATGTGCTGCCACATGGAACTCTCAATGCTCAGAGGTTCAAAGACGAAGAGACCGACATAATAGATCCTATTGTTCACCCATATGCTGCCACAATTGGCGACACCTTTCATTTGGAAAACATCTTTCACATTGCTTTCCTCATGCTCCAGTTTCTTGAAGGAAAAACTATAGTCAGAATGGAAAGGCCAGCGTACTTTCCTGACCTTAACCCCACAGAGGACACGTGGAACATTCTCGAGAGGCATGTTGCTGGCTTATATAACCCCCTCCTCAAACTCTAGATGGGGATAAAACTGCTTACTTGATGAATAGACATTGCTACTCATGAAGCTCATTTACATCAAAAACAGCATGCAGGCTTCTATTGCTGTTTGGTGAAATCATACCCAGTATTGAGATTTTTTTTTGGGGGGGGGTATTTATTATGTTTGACTGAATTTAGAATTTATGTTCCTGATGATACCATAAAATTCAAATAATCTGTATAATATTTTCAAGTGTTTTTAAGTGAAAAGGGGTATAAAATATTTTCCCCGAAGCTTTGTCTATTTTTCTTGTGTACGTTTTGAGCTGTCATCAGTTTTCTGTTTGTTGCCTAACTTTTGGAAACAAGTATATTTAAAATTCTGCAGTAATGATTTATTAGTAATTATGCATTAATTAATCAGCATTATTTTAGAAACAGGCCGAAAAATAAAATAACTAATATGCAAGTACCTTTTCTATAAATTGATAAAATGACCCTTTGAAGAATTTTTCATTTGCCACTTTTCAGTTAATAACATGCAAATTAAATAAAACACATACACACAATTATTAATTTATACTATATTCAACGATTTATTTCATGCCGAAATATACATTTTATACAGATGTAAGCACCTGCACGAAAAGAAAGCACTATGACTGATGTTTCTTCTCGACAACTAAGCACTAAAGTCTCATCTCAGAGTCCGAACATCAAATGCATTTTTCTGAAGGTATGAATCATGGTGTAACAAGAGATTCTAGTATAAAAATAATGTCACTTCTGTATCTATCAATACTTCTCATGCAAATATCTCAAGACTCGTATTACTGTCAAAAAAAAAAGGTGTTTGTATAAAATAGAATTCATGAAACAAGAAAAGGCTCAATGACGTATCACAACTGAGCATATCCTAGGAAGTTAAGATCACACATTGTACTATTAAAACACAAAATAGTTCATCCAAGAAACATCTATTCTTAATCGACCATAATATTAAACAAATCTCACTGTAATTAAACAAAAAATGTTGTACAAAAGTTTCTGTTTTTTTAGGCCTCTGTCCATTTGAAGGCAACATGATAATTAGCTCTTTAGATGTAGTTAGGAAGCACTTAATTGAGATCCGAGGTCTAAATTCTTTGTCTTCGTTAATTGTTATTTGTAGCGACTTGTATTTGTACTTTATTCCATAAGAAAACAGTTAAAGCAGACAAGAATATTAGGAATGTACTGTGCTGCCATCTGGTGTTAGCAGATGACTCTTCTGATGGTGGTTGATGATCGGGAATGAAATGAGGTGGTGACGAGGGCGTCGAAAAGTAAATATCTCCAAAGTTGTCTTCTGTTGGTTCTTCTTCTCCGAATCCACTGCCGCTACCGCTTCCACTGGATTCGGCATCAGAATCACCTGTAAAAATAAGAAAAACTGATAAATAGGCAACGCAAAAATTGTCATGAGTATATTTTAAAGTCCCATATATGTTTAAAAAATTACTATATGATGAAATATTTTAAATACGTAGCTATTCCTTGATTGAGTAAAAGCTAAAATATCTACATAATTACATCATTTAAGTTTTTTTTTGTTTAGAATTGTTTTATAACGTTTAGGTGATTCTCTTCTATTTGTAGGATGTGGCGCCATCTATAGCGGGATTTCACAACTAAATGCCAAATGAAAGATTATTTTTCTTCAGAACTTTAAGGCATATCAAATTAAAATAATAGAATAAGCAGTAATTGTAAAATCGTACCACACGACATTCATTCTGCCTTATATATACGTTACCTATGCATCATTATATAATAATACAATGTGATATAATGCTTCTATTAAGCTTTTATAAAGAAAAAAATGTAAATAGTGCATCACATTTAAAATTACTTACAAATATTTTATTATTATATGATAAATAAAGACTTAAGTTCTTTTTTTGAAAATTTCTAAAATTAAATGTTAAGAATGCGCCCGAAGAAACACAACTTACATTTCTCTTTTCAAATGAAAATTAATGGAATTTTGAATTTTATATCTTATCTATAAGAACTGAAACATTAATTACTTTAGACACTGCAACACAAGTTTGTCTGGCATATAGCGCATGATAGATTCAATACTTGAATTTAAAATTTGTTTTTATTTTAAAGAACGAAAGCTTGGATGCTTGAACATGCATAAATTGTTTTAAAACACCGGTAATCTGAAAATGGCGGCTCGCTTCTGGTCTTTCTAGTAATCTTAAGCGGCAGGCGAATACATTTCTCGTAAATTAACTGACATTATTTATTACGACAAGAATTTAAAAAGGTTTAAGATTTTAAATTATTTTTAGTCCAGTTTTACATTACTTTCATTACCATTAAAAACGAACATAAGTAATGCTACAGAAAATTTATATGTGGAGCTAATTGATTTAGACAGTGATATAAATTTTTTTCAAAGATTTCAAAAACTTTTTTCGTATTTGGCAAAAGATACAAATCTTTAGTTACGAATTTTTGCAATATGAATAATCGCTTTGCTTGGGAGTGAACAGTTTTCTTTCCACAGTTGAAAATTCTAATAATAATAATAGATAGGGAAAAAAAAAAAAAAAAAAGGAAAGAGAGAGAATCGAACTGATAGATAAGCATCTACGTAGGCCATCCAGGAAGTAGATTACGTTTCCGTCTGTGTCCGCTAGGGGCGGGGCTAGCGCGGCCATCTTGGGGTCAGAGCGTTGCGCAGCTCAGTCTGCATCTGGCCGTGCTAGTGAGAGGTTCGTGCTGTGCTCCGTTCAGATACTGTGACGGTTTGAAATGTCTGCGTTAATTGAAAATCCCGCGAGGTGCGCTCAGTAATAAGGTTTCTGACTGCAAAAACTGTAAACCGATAGAAATCTATCGGCAGCTTCGTGAAGTGTATGGGGACAACATTATCACTGAAGGTGGAGTGCGTCAGTGGGTCATAAGATTTCAAAATGGCCGAACCAATGTTCACGACGAAGATCGAAGTGGGAGACCCAGCATAGTGACCGCCGAACTTCTCGAAAAAGTCGATGCTAAAGTCCGTGAAAATCGAAATTTCACAATAACGGAACTTTCTTTGAGTTTTCCACAAATTTCGCGAAGTTTGTTGCACGAAATCATCAGCGAAAAGCTTGGTTACCACAAGTTTTGTGCAAGATGGATTCCAAAATCTTGACAGAGGACCACAAAAATCAGCGAATGGCTGCAGCGTTGAACTTTTTGGACGCTTACCATAAGGATGGTGACTCTTTACTCGATCGCATCGTTACTGGTGACGAAACATGGGTGAAACATGTGAACTGTGAAACGAAATTGCAATCAATGCAGTGGGGGCACACAAGTTCTCCCCAAAAACCCAAGAAATGCATGCAAACAATGTCGGCAAGGAAGATGATGGCGACTGTTTTTTGGGACAGAAAAGGTGTAATTTTGGTGGACTTCCTGGAAAGAGGCACTACAATAAACTCTCAAAGGTATTGCCAAACTCTCCAAAAACTCAGAAGAGCAATTCAAAACAAGCGCAGAGGAATGTTGAGCTCTAAGATCTTGTTGATTCACGACAACGCCCGGCCCCACACGGCAAATGTCACTCGTAAAGTTCTTGAATCTTTTAAGTGGGAGTTGTTTCCTCATCCGCCGTACAGTCCCGACCTGGCACCGAGCGACTTCCACCTATTCCCAGCAATGAAGAAGTGGCTGGCTATGCAGCGTTTTGATGACGACGCACAGCTGCAAGAAGAGGTAACGAAGTGGTTTGAAGGCGCAGGCGGCCGAATTTTTCGACGAAGGAATTTCCAAGCTCGTACATCGCTACGATAAATGCCTTAATTTGTATGGTGACTATGTAGAAAAGTAGTAGTGAGTGTGGCTTTCATCTGTATATAATAAAATTTGTTTCCTATACTTTGTTTATTTTTTTATTCCAAAACGTAATCTACTTTCTGGATAGCCCTCGTATAATTCTTGATAAAGGTAGTTTCTAATAACTTTTTTTCCAAAGTTACATATTTCATGGAAATCAAAATTCCATGAGATGGAGCTGAAAGCTGTAGTAATAAATAAAGTTCATAACTATTTATACACATGTATGAATTTTTCTGTACGCGTCGAAGAAACAACAGAAATTTCTTGCAGTTACGGCCAAACAATTCAGACAGAAAATTAATAAAAATTTGGAATTCTTTCCTTTTCATCATCATTATTACTGCTTATGTATGCTTTGGTAAATATTTAGTAAATAAAATTTAGTTTAAAAATTTGTCCTGTTAAACGTTTTATTTGAGTTAAAAAAAATCGGGGGCCCATGAGGCATTTAAGATCATACATTTGTCCCAGATGCTATTTGAGTTTGAGCTTAAAACTTAATAATAAAGGTCTTGGTCCAGACACAGTTCTGTTGGTTTCCCAAATCACACAAGATAATTCAAAATCATGCAAGATAAATCCGACTCACGATGACTGCGGATTGCAGTCATCGTGATCGCTTGTATTTCTTGCTAAGTTAAGTAAAATTAAGTTTGCGTTAAACTCATTAGCATAGATTTTTAATTCAGTAACTTTACTGTTTACGATAGTGGCACATTTACGCAGTCGCACAAGTCGTTAACTGCGAAAGATTCCCAAAAATTTAGTGAGGTTAACTTCCGATATCCGCTATTAATTTATAGGCTATGTGTTTAATATTAATGCCATCGCAGTTAAAATCAATTGATTTGGCTTATTTCACTTCGAAATAGAAATGGGTTATATGTTTAAGGAAATAAAAATAATTTCAATGTTGGTCGGAAAAAAAGCACATTTTGCTTTACAAGTAAGAATGCATTCGTATGATATTAAAATATGACAGAAAAAAAATCGCTCACTTTCATTCAGGTATACTGTACTGCCAAATAAAATAATGTAAACTATACTGAACCCTTCAGTAGAGTATCTTCTCTCGCTCTGGAAACCTATGAAACTAAGAGATTTGGATTTACCGCAAACAGCAATTGTATATATATTGCACCACATGATATTCCCAGCTTTAATAATCTAGTACTATATTGCACCACATGATCCATCCACCACAGCCCTAGCTTTCCCAGCTTTAATAATCTAGTACTATATTGCACCACATGATATTCCCAGCCCACCACATGACATTCCTATATTGCACCACATGATATTCCCAGCTTTAATAATCTAGTACTCTCTAGCGCTTTTCAAGCATCATTAGTTTTACGCTTTGAGTACACTATTGCGATAAGCATGAACTTAGAGTACGAAAGCTGTGGTAATGGGGCACTATTAGGAATAAAGAGAACAATAATGCGAATTTTAAATGCAGAACAGTGGGCAAAGAAGCAAAGAGATATTCAAGTTGACACAGTCTGGCCACTGACAGCAGCGATCCTCTGCGAAAGGCGACGACAACCTGCGGGGTCAAAGTCAACCGAAATGTGTATATTAAGATGACGTTTCGAGTCAGTGGTATTTTCATTTTAAAATAGTGTTTTTTTGGTGAATAATTTTGTTGAGAAAATAATTACAATACACTTTAAGCATAGAAATTATAATAAAAACAAAACTTAATGCACTTTATTTTTCTCTTTTATATTAATGGCTCCTCTGATGCTAAACTTGCAACGCCAAAACAATCCAGTCTGGCTTACAATTAGTCACCTAAAGACGAATACAAGCATCTGAATTTTTTGTAGTTCTTTCTTAAAATGAATTTCATGCGTAAAAAATACTTGTTCGCATTTATAAGTTGAATCAAATGCAGACAAAATGACAAAGCCATTTTTTCTGGAATGTAGTTAGTGACTCTGACTGCCGTACCGAATTACCCGGGTTCAAATCCCGGAGATGGCATGCATGTAATTTGTCCGTCCCTTCATAGCAGGCAATGGCGACCCACCTATTAGGTGCCTCCATAATAAAGAGATCACCGCTTCTGGATTTAATAGTGGCCAACGTCTATACACGGCTAGAGTCCGCCATTGGATTCGTCATTGCAACTTTGTAATCAGAAACAAAAATGTTATTTATTTTCGGTGTATTTTTATGTATCGTTCAAATGTTCTCTTTTCATATTTATAATTTATTTTTATATATTACGCATACTTGATTTTCGGAACTCAAGTGGGTCACTTGAAATTATGAAATGTCTCACTCGATCCTCCAGTCATTAAATTGCCGAGGACTGCTCCAAGAGGCTGCTAATTTATTCCCATCAAACCGGGATACTAAGATAAAATGCGAATACTTCAGCGAACTTATAAGTAACCAAAGAAGTTGCGAGAAGATCATTCCCATTCACTTAATTTTGAACACCAGTGCAACTTAATTTCGGTGATTTTTCTCGAAAAGCACTCAAACAAAAGCACAAATCACATTTGCAAAAATAAATAAATAAAA